TTAAGCTTAATTTCCTCTTCATTCCCGTTTGTTCATACTTTAGCATGCTCTCCGAATGGGAATATTATTGAACTGTCAGATTCCGAATAGTTGTCGGTTTGATCGCAAGCATTACTTCTATGCTGATATGCCAGCTGGGTAAGAGTTTAAACCCCATTGATTTTACCATAAATAGCAGCTTTTAAGGTACCAGATAACGCAAAGTGAGCGTCCCATAGCGAAAAATGGGAAGTTTCGATTTTCAGTTTATAGTGAAGATGTGCAGTCATACAGCAAAGAGGTAAACAGTTGTCCTGTTCAGATTTTTTCCCATAGCTTTGGCAGCAACTATTTTTTTGTTGAAGATTGGCATAATTCAATTACAACTAGAGCAAGACAGCGGAAAATCGATTCACTTTGGTCCTGTTTCTCTAATTGATCTCAATCGTGCAGGTACACAATCTGATCCAATGATTAGCACATATATTCTACAGTAGAGAGGTGGTATCATTGTTAGGACTGTAATGTTTTATGGCAGGCTTGTTTTGACTTAATGTTGTCCAAATAAATGTAGAATTCGATTTTCCTCCTGTTCTTCCTTTTCAATATAACAGTCTCGTAGGAATACGAGACCTTTTTCAGGAACAGCTCTGGTAGAAGTAGTAACTACTCCGGATTTTTCCACAGCTTTAGAAGCGATGTGCTTTGTTCAGCAGCTTCGCCTACTTTTAATGCATCATGGAATATGTAAAGGAGAAATGCACAGTATGTTCCTAGAGGTTGCATACACTTCTATAGTTGAACCTTGAAATTTTGCACTAGTTTTGTACTTTTAGAGGGTCAATTACGAGTTGATGCCAATGTATCCTTAACACACCTTGGTGAGAAGGGTGTTCGAACAGAGGTATGAAAATATTTGTAGGATTGTAGCCCTTTTTTATTCTCTCAGAAATGACCGAGAAATGAGGTAATGTCTACATCTTAAAGTTTGAGCTTGACCGATCACGAAGCGACGCATCTTGCGTACAGCTGCGGGTTTCTGACCTTACCTGGTTACATATTCTTGGAGGAAGCAGTTGAAAACATACGCGAAAACGCTCTTTGGTGAACCTCAAGTTCGTCCTCTAGATATGAGACTTATTGTAAAATAAGTATATTGTTATAACCGTCCTTCCACCGCCTAGCAATAATGGCTAAAGACTTAGAGTCGCGTTTTTGGTGCTGTTTTACCCCAAAGCAAACAAACCAAAGTATATGGGCTCTATTTATTTGCAACCTCCTTTAATTCAAGAACTGATTTGACTCGATGAGCTTTCTAATCTTCAGCATCTTTAGATAAAGAATATCAATAGCCTACGTCATCTGCATACCGCAATAAATTTCGAAATTGATCGTCACTACAAAGTGATCTCAGACGGAGGCAAAGTGATAAACGAGACGAGGATGTGCGATGAGCACGGGTACTGTAGGGTTAAGGTAATTTATCAGTACTACTAAAACACCGTATTTAGCCGTACTGTTTCCATGCGAGATAAGGAAGTCAAAACGGACTATCGATTTATACCGGAGCCTAACCTACCTACTTTAAAGGTCGATTTCCTGTGGTAAAACCTCTCAAACGTTTTTTAAAAAATCTTGTTGATTTTCAGATCCTCCCCCAATGGATTGATGAATGCACCAGTTCTATATCAAGTACTCCAAGCTACATTAGGTATCAGAAACTAGGATTTGAGGCAAGGAGAGCGATTTATTATGCGGTAAGTCTATCAAAAGTAATTCATCTGCCATCAAATGATATAGATGCACATCTCACCAGTTTTTAATAAACCCTAAATCTTTATGCTAGGATTTCCTTTTAAATTGAGGGGTTTCTTCGTTTTGTTTTTAAAAGCAGTATCGAAATTGTATTTTCTTTTCAGGAAAATCCTCCATTATCAAGATTTTTGGACATGTGCACAGATCGGTTGCCAAGAGTTGGTGCAGAGAATTTTGTGAATTGGATGAATGAGTTGAAATTGATCTTGCAAAGGAGTAAAGCTACTTATCCTCCTGAAAAGTGAGATTCTTTTACTGATCAATTAGAAACAGAACCATAACTGATTGCTACGTTTCTTGGACCTTGCTTGCTCAAGGCTAAAAGTTTAGCTATCTGTCATACTCGGCTGAAGAATTCCAACAAAATTTGTAATTTCAGTCCAGAATTTGCGGATCAATTTATGACGGTTGCTGAGTATCACGCCAACGGCAAAATTACAAAGTTACGCGCCCTGGAGGCGCTTAGGCTATTTGCAACAAATATACAGGATGCTAAAGAGGTATCGACATTGACTCCCCCCTCCCCCTTCTCGCTCCCCTCTTCCTCCTTTTCCCCTTTCCCCACCTCTTTTTTTCATACGAGTTGTAGAAGTTCTTTTTCAGTACTTTGAGAAAGCGAATGCTTGGCGGATAACTGATGAGCAAATGATCTTGTCTATGACAGAAGATATATTGAAAAGAAATGGAAAATTGGTTGAGAAGGCTATGGCGGGACATGCGAAATCTTTGTCGAAACTGAAGAAGCTGCTTATAGACCAATCGGACAAGCGAATTGAAATTGAAGATGCTGAAAGGGCAGTTGCTAGGAAAATTTGGGAGTTGAAAATTGAAAAGCAAAAAAGTATATCTTAGTAATAAGTAATTGTTCGAGAGCTTATAAACAGTTTTTAAATCAGTGTTTTCGAAATAAAAAAGACTGCATTATCTTGATGTAAGACTTCAAAGCAAACAGTTCAAAGCTGGATTTTATGCATGAGGTCAAGGAGATAATTCTTGTTAAAGTGTGTGAAAAAATCACTTTAAGTTTTATATTTTTCCCCATTTGCACTTTCAGGATTTCCTCATCATTCTTGATATTTTTTGAAAAATTTGTAAGCTTGCTTTTTTTGAGATTTATAAGATTCCCAACTTTCCTTGGTTTTGTTTCAGAAGGGATGCGTTAGAAAAAAGTAATTCAATCTTGGCTGCATTCCTATCACCAGATTCGCGTTAAGTTCATTTATCTTACTACAGCTCGCCTATGTTGCTATCTCAATTGCTTTTTAAAATTAGAATAGTTTTTGGCATAAGACACGTTATCACAAAGGATAAAGTGTAATTCTAGCGTTTGTTAAGCATATCTGCCCATTGAACACATCGTGTTTGTGTTGGTTCTAGAATCCATACATCTCTGTATGGTTCAAGAGGCGTTTTTGCTGGTTCATTTAATGTACATACCTTCTTTTTGGCGTAGTCATGATAAGTAGATGGAAGGTTTGGACAATTGGGAGCTGAATATTCGCTTCTCGTTTGGCTTTCATCTCGCAAGCCATTGAAACAAACAACTTCTGTTCAAAAAATCGATTTAACAGTTTAGACGAATTAAGTATTAAACAACATTGGTGGCCAGATATTTCAGGCTTAGACAGTAAGTAGGAGATGCCTCAAAGTCGGGTAATTATAAAATCCTGTGCTTAACGTTTTTTTTAATGGAAAAGGCTTAATCGACTATTGCTACTATACTAGATCCTCATCCCATCACATCGATAGTATATTAAACAAGTCAGGTTCACCATTCATGGTTATATCCAATCCCTGCAAGTTTTTGTGCACATATTAATGAACGCATGCTGTATATGATACGGAGGGATGTTAAAGGAAAATGAAACGAATGGACAGCTGAACGCCTCAGAAAAGACTGGAAGAAGAAGAGGAAGGAGAAGGAGACACGGAAAGAACGAGAGTTGTGAAGAAGTTAGAGAAAATAACAGACAGAATGGCTGTTAAAAGTATGTACTTACTTAGATGGCCTGTCTTCACTTGTCGTGCAGGCCACAGCACTGTTTCCATCCGTTTCTGTCTCT